CACCTATTAAAGACAATAAAGATTTTCGTTACTACTGCTGTCTTGACACAGCTCTAGCGAACTATATAGCTGTATTGCAAACGTATTAGTACTGACACCGATTCTGTGTATGCGTGTGTGTTGTAAATTTTGTACAAGCAGCTACGGTTGACGACTGAGTGCAGAATTTGCAATACAAACGGACACACAAAATCAGAGTCAGTGTGTTCTTTAGTAACAAAAATCTTTATGTACACTGTGACATTCTATATTTGTAGACACACGAAAAAAGTTTATTTTTGAAAAAAATTCTCAAAAGATGGCGCGCTCGACAACGTTCAAAAACGTTCAAGTGTCAAACATCACTTATGGCATGTGTGGCATTGTTTAACGCGCCATAAGTCAAATTCTACAATGGTTACTATATTTATCATTTGTAGAATTACTATGAATTTTCGTAGTAAATTTACAAATATATTTGAAGTCTACGTGTTTGTAAAATTACTACGGAGATTCATAGTAAATTTACAAAAACGTCCAATTTTCATAATTTGTAAAATTATTATGAAATTTTGTAGTAAATTTACAAATGATGTAAATTGGACGATTTTGTAAATTTACTATGAATTTTTGACGTAATTGTACAAACATATATATTCAATAGAGGTTTTTGTAAATCTACTACAAAATTTCATTATAATTTTACAAAATGTGTAAATGTACTATGATATTTCATAGTAAATTTGCAAAAACGTCTTTTTTCATAATTTGCAGAATTACTATAAAACTTCATAGTATATTTACAAATTTTGTAAAATTACAATGAAATTTTGTAGTAGATTTACAATGATGAAAATTGGATGGTTTTGTAAATTTACTATGAAATTTTATAGTAATATTACAAATTATGAAAATAAGACTTTTTTGTAAATTTACTATAAAATTTCATAGTAAATTTACAAAAACGTCCTATCTTCATAATTTGTAAATTTACTATGAAATTTTGTAGTAAATTTACAAATGATGAAAATTGGATGGTTTTGTAAATTTACTATGAATATTCATAGTAATTTTACAAAATTTGTAAATGTACTATGACATTTTATAGTAATTCTACAAAATATGAAAATATGACGTTTTTGTAAATTTACTATGAAATACTATAGTAATTTTACAAAATTTGTAATATTACTATAAAATTTCATAGTAAATTTACAAAAACCTATATTGAATATATATTTGTAAAATTACCTCAAAAATTTATAGTGAATTTACAAAATCGTCCAATTTACATCATTTGTAAATTTACTACAAAATTTCATAGTAATTTTACAAATTATGAAAATTGGTAGTTTTTGTAAATCTACTATGAATCTCCGTATAACAATAGCATAGAAAATTCATTTTGTCTGATTTCGCGGGATCTTTTTTTTAATTCACCTACAGTTAGTTGTTCCATTGGACCAATTTTTCCTACAACCTTTAATGATAGAACGCAGTACACATAGTTTTTCAACTTGTTTGTGTATAAACAAACAAATGTCAATTGTTAATCTCATGTGTCAGATAAGCGTTCAATTTACAAACCGTTCAAAAAAAACCAACGTTCACAGAAAATTGATAGTTTTTCATTGCAATATAAATTTAATAAATTAAAATAAAATTAATGCCCCTAAATTTTCTAAAAACAATTTATTTATTTTTAAACCATTTTTTCATCGTAAATTTTGCAATTATTAATGTAAAAATATAATTATTTATTAAATGAAGTCATCAAGTTTGACATCACAAAAAAGTTTATAAACATACGTATTGCGCCATCTATCGAAATATGAGAATTGTAAATTTCGATAGTGAAAGTCGCTATGCATGAAGTCAAAAAATAACATTATTTGTTTTTTTTGATGTTTTTTTTCTGTTATTTTATTATTATTATTATTATTATTTGGAATTATGCTACCAAAAAATTGTGAAAAAGTTGTATTTAAACTGATATATTCATCATTTGTAAATTTACCCTGACTTTTCGTAGTATTTTTACAAAATGATATTGTGACTTTCATTTTGACACATTTTGTAAATTTACTACGAAAATTCAGTGTAAATTTACAAATGACTTACAACACAGTGTTCGTCGGAACATAGCGCCATCTATTGAAATAATCTTAATCTACTTAGACGAACTTTTTTGTGTGTCTATAAATATAGAATGTCACACTGTATTTTAATAGATGTCGTATTCGTTGAATCTTCAACAAAAAATCTTCGATACCAGCGCCCACCGTAAAATTCTATTGGAAATATAGATTCAGACATTTCGCAAACTCTGATATTTTCAAAAATTCTTTGGACATTTCCTTCATTTTCGTTTATTTCAGGTCAAAGTAGAAAAGAGGTTAGTGTTGAAGCTTTGATGCAGATTTGTTTTTTTTTTTGATTGGACGGTTACTCGAATTTTCATGGAATTACGAATAAAAATACATACAATTACACAAAAAATGAATTTTTTATGGAAATACAGGCATCCTTAGAATTCATCCTTGGAATTCATGGACGTAAGACGGGATTCAACCTTTTTGCTTATTTTTCACGATTTTCCATCGGAAAAGCAAGAAAAATCGATTTAATGTTTTTCCTATTTCCCTTTAGTACTGCAATATATACGTACTTTTTATAACGTATTTGTTGTTTGTACGAACAATCCGAAAATTTGATTTTCTACGAACGAACGAACAAAATGTGAATTAAAAAACGCTACGAATGAACGGTTCGTTCTTAGGTGTTCGTGGACAGCTCTGGACTGGATACCAACCCCGGACAAACATAGATACATTCGCTTCTATATAGATTACTTATTCAGATTTAAATTTGACTAATGACTCATTAGATGATTATGTGATTAGTGATGATTATGCTAATGAGAACAATGGCTGTTATATAAAGGCTGTTCGTTTGTTGGCAAGCAAGGTGGTGGTCAAGGTGTATTTATTGGGGGGATCTATTGCTCCGAAGCCGGTATTATTCATGAATTGGGACATGTAATTGGATTTGATCATGAACATAACCGGCCCGATCGTGATGAGTACATTGAAATAAAAAAAGACAATTTTAAAAATGTTTTAGATTTCAAAGAAAATTTTCGAAAATTGTCACCCAAAGCGGTATTGACACTTGGTGAACCATACGATTTTGACTCGATCATGCATTATAACCAAGTTGCTGGTTCGAAGTATTGGTTTTTGGAAAATATTATTCGGACTATGGGGCACGTTTCATACCAAGGTAAAAATTTAAAATCAGCTGACTTATTTACCGTCCTGCCAAAGAAAGGAAAGAATGGCATTGTGCCGAAACTTGGTAGAAATGTACAATTGAGTACAACTGACATCCGAAAAACAAATAAGTGATACAAGTGCCCTGAGTGCGGCCAACAAATCGCACATATCATTATCGATTATGTGAATGGTGCATCACAGGCAAGGATGGACAACGGATTCGACTTAAAATAAATGATTTAAGTATATTCGAATCGACTGACTGTAACATTGACTTTTTACAAGTTTATGACGGTTATTGGTATACGTCACCGTTGTTGGGTCGCTTCTGTGGTACTAAATTTTCAAATGATATTATTGTATCAACTGGAAATCGCATGATCATCAATTATGTCACAAGTCACACAGAACATCGTGGTTTTGCGGCAAATTATGAGGCTTTTTTTCCATCGCAGTTGGACGATTGAAGGAATTGTAAGTTTCATAATGAGGTTGATATTTTATTATGTAGTTATTTTCATTGTTAATCGGTTCGACCGATATATTTACACATATACACACGATACAAAGCGTTCGCAGCACTGTGTATCACATCTCGTACGATCGAAAACCGTTTAATACATATGGTACGTATGCCTTATGACATGCTCTGGTTAAAATGTATATAATCTAAGAAAGTAATAATAAATTCAAACAACTTGTCCAATTCGCTAAAATTATGTTTTATATTCAATCTTTGTAGATTAAGGAGCATTTGTAAGTGGCGCACCTCACATATTGCACCTAAAGTGACCGCCAGCGTAGACAGCAGCAAAAAAGAATGTAACTTTGGTTGGCCTAGTTACTTAAAGAATATTGATTCATTTTACTATGTACAGAATATCACTATGATGATAGCAAAGATTCTCTCAACATTGCAATAAGAAAGGATTTATTTATAGAATAGAGTTAGTTTTGATTAACGCAGAGTGTAAGGTTAAAAGATAACAATTGTCAATGTATTAAATCAATCAATGGAATTTTCTATTTTTATATATTTTTTAATTTGATAACCTTCCACTCTGCGTTTATCTGGGCTTGTGACCAGCATTAAATTGCAAATCTACAATTTGATGGCCGCATTAAAAGGTTCTTCTAACTAACGTCTTATATGGTTTCCTCGTAACTCTTTTTTACCATAGGTGATGACGAGGGTTCCTAGGGATCGGATGACCCCCCTAAAATATTTTAAGGAACCCTCAACAATTTTGGAAATGAGGACCTTTTTTTTTGCTCTTCACTTTTTTTGGCCGAGAAAATTCTTTCGATTTGCTAGGGACTTTCGCCAAAAAAATGACTTCCAAAAAAAAATAACGATTTTATCCTCATTTCGTACAAATTGTTGACATCGTCAGGGAACCCCCATGGATTTTTCCAGGAACCCCCTACAGGATTTTGCCATAAGCCCCCCTCCCCCCTAAAAATTTTTACGTCATCATCTATGCTTTTCTACATATTTGAAATTCGGTTTGGATTTTATATCTTTTATTCTTTTAAATTCAAAACATTAAAAGATTTTTAAATATTTTCTTTATTGAAATTCCACTGTAACTAATGATAACGAAAGTGTTCGTGAAACACATTTTAACTGGTACTAACGAAAGATAACATAAAGGTTGACATCAAATAGAAATGCATTTGTTTTCGGTAATATTTTTTTCAAGTTAAAAATAGAGTTATTGCAATAACCATGGATGGATTAATCGGAGTTGATGTGTTCTTTTTCGTTGCTTCTGTTTGTCGATGTGTTCATCACCGATTGTCAGTGGTAATTTCAAATTACTAATTTGTGCGAAACCATTCGACAAAGTCGTCGATCAACACCGGCCACGCAGCTTCAGAGTCATAATTAGACATGTTGTCATCGATCTCGGTTATAAAATCTAACAGCAAATACCACACGTCCTTTTGGATCGGGCGATTGTAATTCTTCTACAATAGAAAATGATAGGAATAGAAAGAAGACGAAAAAAGTAATTAGAAAAGGGTTGAAGAAAGAGTGAAGAGGATGATGGAATCAGGTAGAAAATATGTGTGATCAACTTACCGTTAAGAATTCGCACCATTGATCAAGAAATTTAAATTGACCTGAAATTAGTGAAAAAGAAGAGACAAATTCAGTAAAAAAATGTTTAAAAACATGGAAAATTCCATATGAACTTTGGACGATGCGTTGGAAAATTACCTCTGAGCAAAATGTTCCAGTATGCGATGGCCGTTTCCAGATCGATGCCTTTTTGTGCGTCGTCTTTTGCATAATTGAATGTGAAATTATAGAATTCCTTGAATTTAGTTGGAAGGTGTAATTCATTTTCCACTGCTAGTAGTTTTGATCTTAAACGATCTATACAATCAACGTCCAATTCGACAAAACCGGTGATAAATTCCTTTTTTGTGAATTCACATTGGTTTTCGGCGCGACATTTCCATGCAAAGATTAAAACCAATTTCGATGTTGGATCGAGTTGTAAATCTTCCAAAAACCGGCATACACCATCGGTTGAGGTTTTTGTCGGATCATGCGGATCTTCGTACCGTCGAAATAGCTGTCCGATTTTCGTTTCTTCCAAATAACGACTGTATCTTTCGGGATTTGTAAAATAATTATCGCTGGCCTGATCCAGCATCCAATTGTTATTTTGTAGAATCAAAGTGGCCGTCTTTTCACTCGTCTGAGTAAGGGCCATGAACCTCTTCAACGTATCACGTTGCACCTTTGACTTGTTCTGTATGTGTGTGAGAAAGAGAGAAACAAAAATTTGTTTGTGTGAGAAAAAAACATATCGGACACAAAAATAATAATATTTTGATTGCTATTGATTTCAAGTGATTCCACACGCACTGGACAAATCACACAACAAGTAAAATTCCTTAACGATTTTTTTAAATTAATTTTTTTGGATTTTTAGCGACTTACCATTATTTATCAAATAATTTACGTCTTGAAATTCACAAAACTATTTTGGTTTTGGTGAGAACACACAAAATTATATCAAAAATGTCTGATGACTTTGAAAGATTTTAATGCTTACACTTTGGCTGCTGATGTTATACTGCTTGCAAATAAGTACAGCACAAAAATAATTCTGTTCTGTCATCAAGACTGGCATCAATTTGTCTCATCTGCTTAATGAGTTTCAGTTTAGTTTCGGTTCAATTTCGAATAATGACATAGCTCTGAAGTGATCAAAGAGAAATTTCGTAAATCGTAAAGTCAAATATTAAAAGATGAACACCTGTTTACATAAAATATGTCAAATGCACTTAAAAGAAATTATTCGGATTACCGGAAAAATATTCGATATTATAAGGAGTGTTTTGGTTTAGAAAGGTGGTTCATTTCTTGTGTAACTTTGTTGGCGATGACAACGTCTGCTATTTCTCTTCTAAAAAAGTTTCTTTAATAAAAAAAAGTATTTAAAAATGGCAAAAAGCATACCAATGAGTAAGTGTGATTGGTTTTGGTATTTGTTATGCAAAAATAATTTACAAAAATATTTTCGTGTATAAATATTGCTTTGTTTATCTCATTTGCATCTTCTGTAATCTTTTTTCTTTCAGATAAATCGAAAAATGCATTCAAAGCGTCCCAAATCATAAAAAATTCGCAAATAGTATGCTTTGATGTTGATTCGACGGTGATTCGTGAAGAGGGCATTGATGAATTGGCCAAATTTTGCGGCAAAGGTGAAGAGGTAGCTCGACTCACAAAAGAAGCGATGAAAGGATCGATGACATTCCAAGAGGCGCTTCGGCTACGCTTAAATATAATAAAACCGACACAGCAACAAATTCGGGATTTCCTTCAATCACGACCAAGCACATTATCGCCGGGCATCAAAGACCTGGTTAGCCGGTTACTTGATGCAAACAAAACGGTGTACCTGATTTCTGGCGGATTCGATTGTTTAATCGAACCAGTTGCCGAAACGCTAGGCATCCCATTCGATCACATATTTGCCAATAAACTGTATTTTCATTTCGATGGTAAGTGTTACTGCATTCGCCAATCTTTTCATGCAATTTATTATTCTTATTGTCCTTTTAACCAAATTTTCTTTAATTTCAGGTGAATATGCTGGATTTGATGTGAATCAGCCAACATCGCGAACTGGCGGCAAAAGTGAAGCCATCCACATAATTCTAAAATCGTCGGAACGAGCCGGAAGTGTTAATGTGACCATGATTGGTGATGGAGCCACCGACCTTGAAGCATCACCGCCGGCCAACAATTTCATTGGGTATGGGGGCAACGTGATAAGAGAAGAAGTACGAGAGCATGCCACATTTTATGTCACCGATTTTCAAGAATTGATTAATGATTTTTAGTCAACAGCTAACAAGTCGAAGAACTTATTTTGGAAAATGTCATAAATGTGATTTGAAGAAAATTAGTCAACACTATTCATCTACTAATTATCATTTGCCATTTTATGACACATGCTTTTCACATTTAACCGAAAAGTTTCTAAATATGTTTTTTTGCATTTTTTTACCTCTTTATCTCATTAAAACTACTACTTTGGATGCAAATCAAAAATAAACATTTCAATTACGAAATTCGGCAATCTTTTCTCTACAGAGAAAATCAACTCGTTCATCATTTTTACATTTCAATACATTTACCTAATGAAATAGCTCTGAAGGTGCTGATGTAGTGCTATTTGCAAATTCCAAATGAGTTTCAGTCTAGTTTCGGTTCAATTTCGATCATTGACATAGGTCTGAAGTTGGCGATCAAATGTGGGCTGTGACTAATTCCATGCTGAGAAAATTCTCTTGTTCTTCCAGAGACAATGTAATTAGAACTGTAGTTTAATATCGTATCTCGCGTTGAACACACGTGCTACAACTTAACTTGTGTCTCTTGAAAAAATATCAATTTGTGTGATCCTAATTCGTAATATTATAAGTTCCAAATTTTTTTGTTTTATAAGTTCCAAATATTATGAAATTATATTGATTGTGAAAGAAACTGTGAACAAACATCGACGAAAGGAGTAAAGCTAACAGAAGAAAAAGGAATTGAATGAACTCCAATTGCGAGACGCCGGAAAAAGTAGTAAAACATTTTTACATTTTTCTTTTTTGAGGTAAGTTTTCCTTCAGTTCATATAATATGAAAATGTCCAATTTTTGGCACAAAATAAAATACTATATTCTTTCCAGTGGCGTACCTACGGGGGGGTTTGGGGACAACGCCCCCCTCTCCCCCCATTGAGAATCAGCGTACACTAGATAAATCGATTATTAGGAATTCAAAAATACAGAAAAAAAATTCAGCTCGCTTCGCTCGTAAACCTTTCTTGCTCTACTACCTTATTTCCACTATTTTATTTCTTTGTTACTCCATGATTGAAATAAATATAACTTAAAATTTAAATTAGTCTTAGAAATTAATTTCTTAGAATTTAATGTGGTACGCCGTTGGAATTATCTTGATAATATCTTGTTACCACAAAAACTATATGATATGTGAAAGGGTGAGAATTGAAGTAATATTAAATATCCATTAATATTCAATTCTTCAAAACTTTAAGTCAAATAGTTCAGTAAAACATATAACTATCTATTACAGTAGGCCTTGGCCACAATCAGTCATTCACTCATTTTTTTGAAGGAGCGAATAATTTGTTTTTATTAGATATACTATATAATACTGGAACCAAGAATTTTAATGCACTTCATCATTTAAAAAATAACTATTTTTGGCCGTCTTGCCATTATTAATAGTCTTCAATCAAAAATGTGTTTTCTGGGTGTCTTTGGGGCCAGGGAACACAAATCTAGCATTTTTTCGATGTCCTAATGTATGTGCGTGGTACCTTGTGCACACAAACAAGTATTCGAGAACGTTTACTCGCACTTACGGTGTTAGTAGAGACTTTACCCCTCAAAATGAGTTACGTGCTTTATTTTACTCTATTTTTGGTGTTAGTTTCATCGAACGTATGTGACGATACACTCAGCATAAATCATATTCGTTAGCGTATACACAGACTCATATGCACGCAACGAAACATAACTCGTTGACCGCATGCGGCAACGTACAGATGTACTACACATGTATCTCTTTTTTCACTGTGATGCGTTTACTTCGATGAAACTAACACCAAAAATAGAGTTAAATAGAGTGAGTAACTCATTTTGAGGGGTAAAACCTCTACTAACACCGCAATTGCGAGTAAGCGTACTCGAATACTTGTTTCTGTGTACCCTGTACGCTGTACGCAAAAATTTGTTAACACGATAACTTTCAAACAAGAAAAGTAATTCAAAATCTGACTTCAAAGGATGATTGGGGGTGTCGAGGAATAGAAACCATGAGATTTTGAGCGACTTTGGTTGATAGAGTGAAGTGTCATGTCTGGTATGATGCCCATGGCCATCCATGGGAAAAATTCAATTTTTCTTCCAAAAGTGATATTTAATGTATACTTAAACACTCAAAAATATGTATTGGGGGGTTTTTGGGTACGAGAAAACCGAATATGACGTTAGTGACGAAATTTTCAGATGATTACGATATCATATAGGCATGGCTCCAATACAAAAATTCCCATTTTTAGTAGTTTTTGTATGAAAAGTGCATCGAAAATTATTTTTATCGTAAAACTAATGTCAGATCCAGTTTTCTCGTGAATTTTTTGAGTAAAGGATTTGTAATAAATGCATGTTGTGGATCACAGTGCGGAAAAGTTCATCTTACGGATGTAAGACATTTTATTTTTTCTTCGAATTTTATAGTTTTTATTGGGCTGAAGTTTGAATGTGAGTTGGGGGTCATTTTTTGCTTCTCAATTTTCTCAAAAATGAAATGGAGGTTTACACTAGATAGAATAGCCTTTTGGATATAATTTTCTTTCGATTTGCTAGGGCTTTTGACGAAAAAAAAAATAAAACCCCCCCTAAAGCTGACCTCTAGGAACGCCGCTGATTCTTTCTATATTTCATTCAATTCTTCAAAAAGAATTTGTTTTGGAAAGTTTTTGCAAATTTCCGAATGTGCCCTTTAGATACAAATCTACATAAAAAAACATTTTTGAGATTGTGTAAATTCACTTTCGGTGAAAAAATATGGAAATTCCATTCTATTTTCAGATGAAAGTGATCAACATAAATGCGCACGTATCACATTGCGGAAAAGTTCGTCTTCCTGCTCTTTAATTTTTTCACTAAATTCATAGTTTTCTTTTCTTTTTTCCACACAGTACGGTCTTAAGCAGTATTTTATGGATCAAATTGAATTGGACCATGTTACACAAGGTATGTATCAACTTTGAATCGTTAAAATAGATTCAATATTGTTTATCCTAAAAATGAATGAAAAATTCAAAATTTTCTAATCGTCATCTGAATTTTACTTTCAAGTCATCGCCTATCATCCAAGTTATTTGGAGCACTTTTTGAAGATTCAAACATTTATTATGTACGCTGATGGACCATTACCGAATGAATATCGACACTACCTCGCAATCATAGTAAGTTTTTGAATGCGATTAAATTGCGGCTAAATGCAAAACATTCACCCGCCTGATTTTTTTTTCACTCTAGGCTGCTGCACGTCATCAATGCGTTTATTTGGTGAATTTGCATAAGAAAGAGTTTCTCGATCAGAATGGGGATCCGAACTGGTTGAACGGTTTAGATTTTATACCACCAAAACTGCGTGCCATTTATAATATAAACAAAATACTTGCACACCGACCATGGCTGCTGACTAAGGAACACATCGAGGTGAGTGACACTGTTTTTGTGGAAAATTCAAAATTGATTGTGGATGTAATAATTCAATTTATTTTTGTGTGCCAACAGCGCTTGACCAAAGGACCGAACAATTGGTCATTATCCGAATTAGTGCATGCAATTGTGTTGCTATCCCATTTTCATTCGTTGTCATCGTTTGTGTTTTCATGCGGTTTAACACAAGAATTGGATCCAACATCTAATCAAAAATACAGTAAAAATGTGCAAAAACCAAGCGATATCTCATCACCGCCAAATCGATTTCGTTCCAGTTTAATTGGTATGCAATTTTTTCTAGAAAATACAATATTTTGTCAGATTTTTAAATATTGTTTTGAATTTTTCTTCATTTTCGTTTATTTCAGGTCAACGTAGACAAGAGGTTAGTGTTGATGCTTTGATGCAGCGCATGCGTTCATTGTCTCTGAAGCAGGATGAATGCAGTGAAACTGAATTAAACGATCGCTTTAAAACGGTCGAAATACAGGTACTCTCGCCTCTTTTCCTTTTGAAAATCGAATTTGTCTTCAAAAATTTCCATGTTATCATTGCAGGCACACGAATTACCTGATACCATAAAAGAGTTAATTATCGAGATACCCGAAAATATCAATCATTTCATCGATGATCCATTGTTTACATATCAAGAGTTTACACGACGTGGCGTCGAAAATGTGCCGGGCACATTCCGCGTACAAGGTATGCAAACAACTTGAAAAAGCAACACTTTGCCGGAATATTTAATGATTTTTATCTCTTTTCTTCAAGATTATTCATGGGATGATCACGGTTTTTCATTAGTAAATCGTCTATACAACGATGTTGGCGATTTATTGGATTTGAAATTTCGATCTGCATACAATTTAACGTATTTTACAATGGCCGATAAAACCAATGTAGATACATCGAAATTTCGTCGTGCCATTTGGAATTATATTCAATGCATCTATGGCATTAGACACGATGACTACGATTATGGTGAAGTGAATCAAGTGAGCTTTTGTTTTTTTTTAAATGACCAATTTTGCTCGGGTTTTATTCGTTTTACTAATTTGATTTTTGAATTGCAGCTGTTAGAGCGGTCATTGAAAATATTCATCAAGACTGCATGCTGTTTTCCGGAGCGCATCACCAAGAAAGATTACGACAGTATTTTAACGGAATTGAAACACAGTGAAAAGGTATGTTAAATGCACAACCATATACAGGTGTTCGTTCATTGCAATACATTAATTCTAGAGTTTCACTCGGTGCTGATGTTGACAGCGGTTGACTGAAAATTCAGTCAAGTGTTCATATGATAATGTTCGTTCATTGATTTTATATGAGCATTGCTTTTGATGTTGGCAATTCAGAAAAGTTTGACAGTTTACATTTTTGGGAGGTAGCTTGGTGTCAGATAATTGATGGCAAAAAAAAGGTTTTCACTTCAAGATCTGTTAAAAAAATCTCAATTTGTAAAAGAGTACTTTTCAAACTCCTTGTCAAAAAGTTATGTATGTGAGTGAGATAGACTCATGGGATGACAGAGAGGACGCGCAAACACTCCTCGCCGCACCTAAGCTCACATGGAGTCCTTCAAACTCCTGCTTGTCGCTTCCATATACAAAATCAATGAATGAGATGCTTGCATTTTTCAAATGAATGAGTCAAACGGTTATAAACGGATAAATTTGTCAAATTAAGTTCGGATTTTTTTCACATTTCTTTTTTTTTTGCAGGTTCACATAAATTTAATGATACTCGAAGCCCGAAACCAAGCAGAACTATTGTATTCATTGCGCGAAATCATGAGATACATGACGTGATTCGCAATTACAACAACTGATAATTTGAAGGACATATTTTTGAAAATGTCATAAATGTGATTTGAAGAATATATTTGTATATTGTTATGTATCACACAATCAAATAAACATTAACATTCAAATAATAGCATCTTTTGTATAGATTTTTACTTTTCCGCACACACCTAGTGTGTAAGGAGAAAGTATTGCAATGGGTCAAAATTTACGAAACCTCAAAAACATGTTTTCTGGAAGTTTCTGAGGTCAGAGAACCCGAATCAGGCCGTTTTGAGCATGGTTGTTGTGGGTCTGTTCCATGTTGTACGTTGTACGTCGTACGTCATACGTTGTCCTCTGTACGCAAAATTTGTCCATCGATTATATCAACCCCCAAAAAAGTTATTTAAAATCTGACTTCACGGGATGATTATGGGGCCCAGGGAATAGAAATCATTAGCTTTTGAGCGACTTTGGTTGATGGAAACGAATTTCATGCCTGGAGTGATACCTATGGAAAAGAGTCCAATTTTCGTCCAAAAGTCATACTTTATGTAGACTTAAACACTCGAAAATATGTATTGGGGGGTTTTTTGGCACGAGATTTTTGATACAGTTTCCTTGAAAAAATCACAAAAGAATTGAATTTTTGTATGGGAGCCATGCCTGTATGCTACCTCAATGACGTGAAAATTTGCACAGACTATTTTTTACATAAAAAAATAACATTCTGAAAGTTTGAAGAGATTTCAATCAAAATTGGGGGTACCTCCCATACAACATTTTCAGTTTTTGGCTCAAAAACGAATATTTTGTATGGGAGGTACTCTTAATTTTGGTTGACATTTCTCCAAACCCTCCGAATGTTATTTTTTTGTGAAAAAACAACCCGTGCAAAGTTTCACACCATTAAGGTGACATGGCTCCCATACAAAAATCCAAAGAGGAATTGTCAAAACTCCCCAACATTTATGTGTGCGTGAACATAATATGTTTTTATACGAATGAATAAAGGTTGACATATAACTAACCGGGGATTGCGTTGACATATTTATATGTAAACGTCAGTGGCATCTAAACCGAAAACGCCATCTTTGGTTACACAGCAGTAGCTATTTCTGTGAAAAAATGTTCACTTTAATTTAAAATAAAATAAAAGTATTTAATTTTAATCCCACATTTTTTTTGAAAAAAATCCTTATTTAAATCATTGAAACCATATTAAAAATCATTTGTTGATACAAAATTCATTTTATTATTAATTGCCATCGATTTGAAAGAGCGAAATTGACAGTACACTGTAGAGATTAAAGAAACAATACATACACAAGCATCACATGTACGCTTAAATTGGTCATCACAGAAACGAAGCTGAGCATGCGCACATGTATTAGTATTTTCATACACAGCATGTTTCGTTCTTCTGTTATAAAGTGTGATGATAGTCTGTATATATTGTTTCTATATGTTTTACTCCATAAAATCGACGACAATTAAAAAAATGAATTCAAAAAAATTGTTTCATGTTTTGTTTTAATAGGATTTTTCAAATAGTCGGGACTAGACTTGAAAACCTTTTTGAATGTATATTAAACTATTTAATTTGAACCAATCAATTGGTTGGTTAAAAAATTCGCAACAGATGGGGAATAAGAGATGGCATTGTCGTAGATTTGGGAACGGACAATAGTCATCATATTACCGGGCTTCATATAACCAACTTCATGCTAGTGCTATGAATTAAATTTTGTGAATTGATGGAAATTGTGAAAATTAAATAATAAGTGAATGTTTATTAAAATATTGCTAGTACAAAAAATGTTTAAAAATTTATTTTATTCTAAACAGATTAAAAAATTCCAAAATAATTAGTTCATTTTTCGAAATATCATAGAATTTTCAAACATTATTTTCATTCCGAATCTACTAGTAGCATGAAGTTGGTTATGAATGGTTCGGTCGAACAGCTGTTTTTTGACATTTTGTTTTGTTTGTGTGTGAGTAAAAGAGTATAAGAAACTGCGTTAGGGACTTTATAAAGGCATTTGACATTACCTCTTTGTTGTGACTTTAGTTATGAAAAGTGCTTCAAAAATAATGTTTATGGCAAAATTAACGTCAGACATATTTTTTATAGTGTTTTGTTAGAAAATAGAAAACTTTCAAATATCGTACAAATGGGTTCATCATGAAAGTGTGAAAAATATTTTCTCGGGTACTTCTGCTATTAAATTAAAGAATATTTCGTTGCCAAAGTTAAAACATATTTTTTGGTCTCGAACTTTACGCCGCTTGAAAGGCTTGAAAATTCGAACAAATATTATTTTGAACTTTCTTAATGAAATACGCAAATACCACCGTGCGAAAAAGTTTGTCTTACTCCCGTAAGACTCTTTATTTTCTATTCTCTTACCAAACAATTTACAATTGAATGATTACAATACTTTAATCTACATAGTGGTGTGTGCGGAAAAGTAAAAATACGTCAAGCACCAAACCAGGTAAGAAATTATGCCATTTAACTATTTGAATGTGTCTATATGTAACGAACCAAAATCATCTCGATGCTCATCAAAACTATTCAACAAAATCGAAGCTGTTGTCTATATGCGCACATAAAAAAGAAATCAAGTCGTTAGGAAAACGAGCAAAAACTAAAAAAGAACAAAAGTGGAAAATCGAAACAAATCGACCATATTGAAAACGACACAGTAGCAAATGATCCAAAATGTTTTGGTGTTCAGAAGTCAGAATCAAAACCGAAAAAAATAATAATCCGAACCCCAGGAACCCTCGTTGTCTTCTATGGTTGCATTTATTTATTTATTATATTTGGTCAAAAATGCGTCCATGTGCTTTACGAGTGTTTCGGTGTCTTCAAGGGTGACAGCATTATAAAGAGATGCACGAATACCACCAACCGATCGATGTCCTTTGAGTTGAAGCATCCCAATTTCTTGAGCTTCTTTCGAAAATTCCGCTTTCAAAGCCTCATCACCGACACGGAAGACTACAGTCATTCGACTATGATTTCCCGATTGGACAACTGTAAAATCAGTTTGATTTTTCGATTTGATCGTATATCGATTGGGATTTTTATGTGAATTCTCGTACATTGCTTCGCTGCAACCTGATCTCTTGATCAACTCCAGCACTTTGCTACAGAGTATCATGATTTGCTGCTGCTCAGCATATAGCTGAGAGCTGAGAAATGCTGAGCTCGTGCGGCTAACGCATACGAAACGGATGCACGATACATATTCCCCTTTCGCTTCGTATGTGCTGCCGTTGACGCTATTGCCATTACAACGGTTACACACTATACCAGCGAACATACGAAGTGAAAGGGGAATATTTATCGTGCATCCGTTTCGTATGCGTTAGACGTACACTTTCAGAATATATGAAAGACTGAGAACAAAAACA